GTCCAACATATATGAATTCTGCTGTTCAGGTTAACTTCAAAGTTGAGTACACCTTGGCAGATTCTATTTAGCAAGTCTTTGCACCCTCTTTTGCAAATCAACATTTCACCATTTTGTTTTATGTCTATTTTCATATGCTGCATCAACTCTGATTGGCCTTGTGTTTTACATGCGATACGCTATTCAGATTTGTCTATTTAACTGAGATCAAATATGCAACCTTCTGGTAGAATTATTTTTGACACCTGTGTGCGAAGCACACAATGAGAGTCTTTGCAGTTAGTGTGTCTGTATGTGTGTGTCCGTCTGTTCCACTGATAACTCAAGAACCATATGTTGGTTTTTGATGAAACTTGATGCATAGATGCTCTCGGCTAATGTGCAGATTTGATTAGGTTTTGGTTAAAATCCATTACCTAATTTTCATGATAATTAGCTAATTTTTAGCTGTTCAATGACTGTTTCACTGATATCTAAAGAACCACTCATTGGATGATGAAATTTGGTACATAGAGGCTGTGGACTAATGGACTAATTTAATTAGTATTGGGTGAAAATTCATGCATATTAATTACCTAATTTGCATAATGATTAGTCAAATATTGGCTTTTCCACTGATCACTCATGACAAGTACTAATCATCACATTTCAATAAAACTTGGTACATAGATGTCATAGGACAATGCACATACCTGACTGGTTTTATTTATTTTATTTATTTATTTTATTTATTTTTTTATTCAATATAGGTTTATAGTGATTCAGATGCTGACAAATGCTATTCAATATCATATTTGTTTGAGTTTTGGAAAAACTTATCAAGATTCAATCTATAAGCAATATTAGTTTTAAATTTTTGAAAAAAAATAATTCAAGATAATAAAAAGTACTTTATCAGTTGCAATATTTTTAACCACATGTCACCAGCCTACAATTTGAGATATGGGGTAATATCTCCGCCATAAAAACTGATGGTTAAAATGTTCTAATAATGGCAATTAAAATGGCCACCATTCTCTAAAATTGACCCCAAACATTTTTAAAGTCAATATCCTTATATTAACGAGAGTGCAATTTATTTCAAAATAGATAAATTTTGGGTATTTTCATTGATGAGTAAGTAATTGTCATGAACTGTAACAAAGTGCTGTAAATGTATTCCACAAAATATACTAGTAAAGTAGATACAAACATGACAGTATTATAAATCACTTTGATATGCAGCCATGTGCTTTAGACCAAGAAATAAAACTCCCTGAGTTTGATGTAAACCTCGTGAATATTTAAAAAAAATAATCAGCTTGTTTACTTTTTACCAAGTCAGGTAATTTTGCTTGTTATCTGGCCATGAACCTTTAAGATATTCCTATACATTATTTTGGTGCAGAGTTATTGAAGCATCTGAACTCTGTCAAGATATTTCTGCACAGTAGAACAGATCTAGAGACACTACTGTTGGTACTAGATGCTCCAGTATTTACTCAACATTGACTGGATTATTTTGGCTTTGTGGACACTGAAGTAACTTACCGTCTACGTGATGCTGTTTGATGACTGAGATGTAATGACTTCTGTAGTTGTGCTTGCTCAGGTCAAAGTTCAGAGTTTTCTGGGTCAATGCAAATCATTTTCCTGACCTCTAATGAACTTTTAAAGTCTGAATATAAATATTAAGCATAAAAGTTGTGTTTGATATGGGTCCTATGCAAAGTATACACAGCATGTACAAAACATTGTTAGTGTGCACGCTGATGAATGTAACGCACACTGACAAATGTGACGCACACTGACGAATTTGACTCACACTGACAAATGTAACGCACACTGACAAATGTAACGCACACTGACAAATGTGACTCACACCGACGAATGTGACTCACACTGATGAATGTAACGCACACTGATGAATGTGACTCACACTGACGAATTTGACTCACACTGACAAATGTGACTCACACTGACAAATGTGACACACTGACAAATGTGGCGTACACTGACGAATGTGACTCACACTGCAAATGTGACTCACACTGCAAATGTGACTCGCACTGCAAATGTGACTCACACCGACAAATGTGACTCACACTGATGAATGTAACGCACACTGACAAATGTGACTCACACTGACGAATTTGACTCACACTGACAAATGTGACTCACACTGACAAATGTGACACACTGACAAATGTGGCGTACACTGACGAATGTGACTCACACTGCAAATGTGACTCGCACTGCAAATGTGACTCGCACTGCAAATGTGACTCACACTGACAAATGTGGCGTACACTGCCAAATGTGACTCACACTGACAAATGTGGCGTACACTGACAAATGTGACTCACACTGACAAATGTGACTCACACTGACAAATGTGACTCACACTGACAAATGTGGCGTACACTGACAAATGTGACTCACACTGACAAATGTGACTCACACTGACAAATGTGACTCACACTGACGAATGTGACTCACACTGACAAATGTGACTCACACTGACAAATGTGACTCACACTGACAAATGTGACTCACACTGACAAATGTGACTCACACTGACAAATGTGACTCACACTGATGAATGTAACGCACACTGACAAATGTGACTCACACTGATGAATTTGACTCACACTGACAAATGTGACTCACACTGACGAATGTGACTCACACTGCAAATGTGACTCACACTGACAAATGTGACTCATACTGACAAATGTGACTCACACTGCAATGTGACTCAACACTGCAAATGTGTCTCACACTGACAAATGTGACTCACACTGAC